TAATAATAATTCACTGAAGCACAAATCTTTTTTCTTGTATGAAGTAAAGACTGCAACTTTAACTATTAGCTCATTAAAGTTAATACACTCTTACAACATGTAACACACACACACACACACATACATACATATTATAGGAGGGCGGGGGGTGGACAGTCCTATGATACGCTCAATGGGCAGATTGTTAACATCTAAAGGGCTATAAGGACAAGTGTTTCCAGATGCTGACTCACATTTGATAATGTCAGCAGTTGTTGATAAAGCTTAGTATTGAATAAAGTTTTTTCGTCCTGGATATTAGCATTTTAGCAGTCTTTATATATATATAGAAAAGAGTCCCTATGGATTTTACTCTGCTAGTTATTGCCAATTATAGGGGCTGGTGCTCATCTCTGTTTCAAGGCCATCCATCCAGACATTTCCATAGTTGTGTGGCCAGCATGACATCAGGGAGCACTGTTTCCTTCCCACCGAAGTGGTACCTATTTATCTACTCACATTTGCATGTTTTCGAACTTCTAGGTTGGCAGGAGCTGGGGTGAGGATGGGAGCTCAACCTGTCATGTGGTACTCCGGTCTCGAACCTGAACTGCCGGTATTCCAGCCGACAAACTCAGCATCTTAACCACTGAGCCATCTGCACCAAACCCCCCCCCATATTAAAAAAAACTGAAAAAAATCAGGCTGCTTTACTGAATAGCAGAAAGGTACTGTGCTTTCTCTGAATCATTTTTGAAGCATTCACAGCCTTAATAGTAATCTTTTCTTTCAACAATATTAATAATATTATACCTCATGATGGAGAGTTGTTATTTATCATATATCATTACAGTTTGGGGCAGATGTAATGTTCACACTCTCTTAAACTTGGTTGCTATATTTGATGGGTTTTTTTGTACAATTTCTTTTGTACAGATGTTTTTGTAAAGGTTTCTGTTGCCCTTTTATGGATTGCTTTAAATATGATAAAGGGAATAAGTTGACAATTTTGTCAGGTGCTCAGCAGTCCTGGGAACTCTTGTACATTGGCCTACTTTCCCCAAAACTTTTGTTTCAAAACCATGCCAAATCATAGTTTGCATAAACCATGGCTTGCAAATGTGTATCAAATGAATGGATTCTAATCGTGGTTTAGCAATTCATGGAATCAATTACTCCAAATTGAACCGTTGTATAGAATGAGCAACATACCAGTATAGCAAATGGTTGGGATGAGTCTGAATTGAATCAATGCTAAAAGCTGATATACATGCAATACTCATACAGTACTATATATTGCCATAATAGTTGAAGGCACTTCCTAGTTTAGAACTTAAGTATAAAAGCAAAATAACTGACAATTTATTTTTAGTTTTCATTTAGTTTTAGTATTCATAATAAAAGTCTTTAACTTTGCGTTCTTGTTTTATTTATTTATTAAATTTATATGAAGCCCATTTCACTGTCAAGCAAATCTGGGTGGCTTACAGCATCAAAAAAGCAAAAATAGAAAATATTAAATGTTAAACATTAAAATTAACAGAAATTAGGTAAGTTAGAAAGCAGAATGCAACAGGGTGGCCATCTTGTGAATACATTCATCCTTAGTGATTTCTAAACAATTCCATAATATATCTATAACTAATAACTATGACCGAAAGGATTGATGCAAAAGAATTAAGAGTAAACATGTAATTTTCTAAATAAGTGGGGATGACTTCATGCTTTCAGTAGGAGAGGTCTTCAGTGACAAGGCTTGATGGGTTTCAAACAACATACATCTGACTTTTTATTAAAAAATAAATACCCACTGAATTTTAGTGATAATTTGTTCATTTTCCCGAAAGATCCCTAAACTCTACTATTTAATTTCAAATTGTTTATCTTGTGTTTAAGTGTGTACATGTGGGGTAGAGGTTGACCATGTTATCTCAGTGATGAACAGAAAACATGCGAACTTGTTTGGAGGCTGATTTTAGTACTAAAAAAATCCTTCCATAAATAAGCTATAGCTAGCCTGGCTGAACAAAGAAGAGCATAGTATTTCAGGAATACAGTGTTGATAAAAAAAATATCAAATAAATAAATAAACAACTGAAATAACTCAGGAAGATAGAGTTTGGCAACACAGAAACCACACACCCCAATGATGTCTGTTGATCTGCAAATTAATGCAAACTTATTAATCAAAAATTATTACAATTATGCAGATTATTGATTTCACAAAATTTGGTTTGTTTTTGAGATGCCTAAGAGTCATTTCAGTGTCATATATGGTGCCAGAATAGTTGCTGACTATTATTGTAAATGCAAAATAAGACAGGTCTCACAAAGAAACTGGAAGCTATTCCAGGTTTCATTTTGAAGGACTTTATTTTTGATGTTTCTTAGAAAGCAAAAGTTGACTGCAGATGCTGCCAAATATTGTACGAGAAACATTAAATCCAATATTAAAAGAAAGTTTATATTCTGAATCACAAACAACAGAATTATTCTCCATTTAATTATATCAGTTAAATTAGTCCCATTAATTAATTAGAATCTTCAATAAAAGGGGGACATCAAACGTAACTAATTCACCAAAAACGAAGGAAGTTGAATCTTTGAAAGAGTTCCTATATACATTAATCTCTCCCTATATATACACAATAAATATATAGAGAGACCATAATCCTATGTGCATTATTTAAGGGAGTAACCTACAGAAATCACTAGGTTTTACATGAGGCCGTGATGTTATTTTCCACATTCTCAAGATAATGCTTTCTAAATTTCCACCTTTTGTTTCCTGGACTTCTATCAATCAAGTATTTAGAAAAGGACTGTGCAAGAACCTCTTTACACAACTAGAACTAAACTTTTAGTGTGCACAGTTTACACTTGTCAGCAAAGGGTTTCCATAGCACGGCAAAGCAATAGTCTTTTTTTTTTTTTTTTTAAAGAAAGCAAGTTTTCTGGCTGTCTTGGTGCCCATATTTTCTACAGAGAATAGGTACATATACCTGGGAAGAAATAACTTATCCCTTTTTCATCTTCTGCTCCAAATGTCTTATGTCAGCTCTAGGAAGCTCTGCCCCACAGTCTGCAAATCACATGACAAGGCTCTTGGACATAATTCTTACATTTGAATCAGTAATATCTGAGTTTTGCACTGTGTTGACCCAAGGTATCCTCAATATGAATTGGCCATTATTAAAACCACAGAAATGGGTGATGATAAAATGCTTCAGAACTATGTTTTTGGAGAACTTTCACTGTCCATTTGCAAACCACTCATTCTAAAAGTAGAAGATAATAATCACAGTTATTACCTGGCTGCATAATTCTTGGTTTTGCTCCTAGATATGCGAGATTCACATTAGCTTTTCTGCCATCAATGATTGGATTGGGATCTTTGCAGGCTCTTTCAGCAGCAGCTCGATCAGCCATTGTCACCTTGATAATAAACAGAAAATGTATCAAAACTGTAACCCTCAAAATAATCTCCCAGATATAGTAAAACAATACTCTTTCTGATAGATAATTTCAGATTAGGATGATCAGGGAGTTCCCTTTTTGTTTTCTTTTGTCCTGATCTGGTTTGGTTTTGGTATTTTGCTTTCACAGTTGGTTGCATTCTTTTGTATATTGATTATTTAGTTGTAAACTGCCCACAGGTGTTTGGGCGGCCTCTTAAATAAACAAATAAATAAACTCCCCTCGCCCAAATGAAAATACAACTGGGCATTATATTTCAGTGTCTGAATTTTGGAGACAGTGTGTGCATGTGTGAAATTAATACCATAAACTTTTTAAAATCCAGTGCTATTGGAAGCCTTCTCTGTTTCCCCAAACAGTGGCACAGAAAGTTTGCAGGACTCTATGCCAGTGACACAGTAGCATGTGTCACTGTAGATAAAAATACGAACATGTCCTATCAGTCTGCAGCCAGCTGGCTTCATCCAATGCCAAAACTTTATTAGCAAATTTTCCTATACAGGCATGAAGCAAATATCCACAGCACCCAGCACCCACAGCATATTCTTTAGAGAAGAAAGCATCCCCCTCCCCTCCTCAAATATCCCCACAAGACTGTAGTCAGTAGTGTAGTTAATCGCGGGGACCTCTCCGTTGATAAGCTGTTTTTCCAGTGCCTTGTTTACATGTTGCTTAACTTTGGGGAAGTTTGCCGTTTGTCCACTCTACACCTCTCAACCCGATGGTCGCAATCTTTTCAAGCCCTTTTTGGAGAGAGAGAGACCGAAAGTGCGGGATTACCTAGCCCCCCCCCTGCCTTCTCTCCCACCATTGTTCAGCGACCACCAACACCCCTTTTCGAAGTTGTTCACCCCCCACCCCACCCCCGCCGCGCTTTTGACTTACAAATCCGTATCCCCGGGATTTGCCCGTCTGCCGGTCGGTGATGACCACGGCTTCTTCGATCTCGCCGAAGACCTCGAAATACTTCCGGAGGCTGGAGTCCGTGGTGTGGTAGGGCAGACCCCCGACGAAGATCTTGGTGTACGTGGTGTCCTTCTGCGTCGTGTGCATCTTCCAAAAAAGACCTCTCCCCTGCTACAAGACCCACAAAAAAAAGGAAGGGGGAAAAAAAAAGTCAGGGGAGGGGAGGGGGAGAAGCCTCTTTCTCCGGCTGCTAAGGCGCCAGCTGCCCCCTTTCCAAGCAACTTCTCTCACCGTCCAGAGACCGCTTCCCCAGCCACACAACAGCAGCAACAACTCCCTTTTGCCGAGCAAAAACCTTCCTTCTCTCGCTCCGAGCAGTGAGTGCAGAGCTCGGCTCCGAGACACACAGGAAGCCTCGTCGGATGCTCTTTGAGGTAGACGGTGTTGGGCGAGGAAAGTGCAGTGAAAGTCTTCCGCTGGCGAAGGTTTCCCCCAAATGTCACACGCGCACGCGAGCTCTCCGTTCCGCCGCCTCTCTCTCTCTCTCTCTCTCCCGCCCCCCCACCCCCTCCCCGCTCGGAGGGGCGGGTAGCCAGGCGGAGTCCCCTCAGGTTATTGGTCTCTTCCTGGGAGGGAAGCCGGCAGGGTTATAAAACCCGGTTGCGGAGACTTAGCGCGTGGCGTCAGGAAGGGAGAGTGAGAAAAACAGGCGAGGAAGCGGCCGGGGGAGGGGGAGGTCGGGGGACCTCGCCACCTGCGCGCTGAGCGGCGCTCTGTGGGAAAAGCGGCTGCTGGTCTAAAGCGGGAACCTCTCGGTTGGTTCCCGTAGCTCGGCTGACAGCGCTGCCAAACTTGAGCTCTGCGCCGCCTCTCTCCGCCTTCCCAGACGCTAACCCGATATAGCCTTCTTTGGGCGTTCGTGGCGGATCCGTCAGCCTCCCTACTTCGCGAAGAGGCACATGGCGGGGCGCAGAAGTTCAAGCTCGGGCAGCGCTGAGGAGGAGGCAGGGTTTGCCCCGTCTGGTGCCGTGCCTGGCCCCTATCTTGCGCCCACCAGGCGGGTTGGGCTCCCAATTTCCCATTGGTTGGCTGCCTGAGGCGGCGTTGCCGGGAAGTATCATCCAACGAGGACCGAAGGCCTGCGACTTCCTCAGCCTTGGCGGAGAAAACGGTGCCTTCCCCAGGGCGTTCCTTGGAGTGTGAATGGACAGAGATGTCTGTTTGGGTAAAGAGCCTTGTTCTCCTGCTATCTTACCTTCTCTCGCAGGGAAGTAGGGAAATAGAGCGGTGAAAGCCAACTCAACAATGGCTAAGGAGGAGCAAGCAGAATCAGTAGCAACAATTTCCCTTGCTTGCTTCTAAGGAGACATTTCTTACCCTTTCCTGTCACGCTTGTCAAAAAGGAAAGGGAAATGGACACATCCACCAAGTGAAAAAGTGAGGCAACCTGCAATGGCGTTTCCCAATGGGAAACATCACTTTCAGTCCTGGTCATTAGATCAGAGGTTCTCAACCTGTGGGTTGGGACCCCCTTTGGGGTCGACGACCATTTCACGGGGTCGCCAAACAACGCAGTCCGCCATTTTTTCCCCCTCTTCCTTAGCTGTGCTACTCCCTTTTATTCTATTGGCTTTTGAAAGCCAATAGAATAGACTCTCTTGAATAGAGTCTAATTCTATTGGCTTTCAAAAGCCAATAGGAATTGTCCAGGCTGTCTCTGCCCTGCTGAGCCTGCCAAAAGTCCCATTCTGCAAACGGTGCTGCACCAGTTGAGTAGTCCTCGACTTACGACCGGTTGAGTAGTCCTCGACTTACGACTGGTTGGGGGTCGCGGCATTAAAAAGGTTGAGAACCACTGCATTATATGAATTAAAGACAGAGAAAGAAGAGGGAAGTGTTTCTCTTACCTGCCTGAACTCATCCTGTGGTCTGGGCAGCACAGAGAATTGAGCATAGCTGCCGAACTGTAGGTCAGCTTTCTGGAAAACAGTGCAGATCACGGTGTGCTCCAGTCATGATGGGATCCAGACCCAACCAGCCCTTTGAAAGGTTGGTTGCTTTCCATGTGCAACCCATGTAGGATACATTTCAGTAGTGAAGCACAATGTGTAAGTAAGCACAATGTGTAAGAAGAGATACACAAGTGGGGCGAACAACCACTGCTGCCGAATCTCTAAACTAGGTGGGTGGACTTTTTCAGAACAAGCCCTTGATATGAGTGGAATGTCAGGGGCACTAAATCAAACAGTGGTCAGAACCAGGACAAAATGTTTATTAAAGTTTAATTAAAAATTAGGTAAACACAATTAATATGAATTATTCCCAGATCTTTTCTTTTGTCACAAAGAAAAGTCATAATACGCAGCAATTTTGGAATATACTACGTAGGCTATACCCAAAGTTTTGGGATTTGCATGAAGCTTCAACCAGCAGATTGTCTTAAAGCAGGGGTAGACAACCTTGGCTCTTTTATGACTCGTAGACTTCAACTTCCAGAATTCCTGAGCCAGCATGGCTGGTTCAGGAATTCTGGGAGTTGAAGTCCACGAGTCATAAAAGAGCCAAAGTTGCCTACCCTGTCTTAAAGCATCTCTGTATTAAGGAATTCCCTGCCTCTCTTATGCTGAACCTGATGCTTGAGGGGAAGTGCAGTTCTCTCCAATATAAGCAGAATTACATCCCAGGTCAGGTATTTATTTATCCACAGTGCCCACATTTCAGTCAGTGTTTCATTAATCACCATGTTCACTTCTTACCTAGCAGGTGTTTAAAATGAGAGCAAGTTGCAAAACAATTATTTCTCTGGGAAAATCTTCCAGGAAGGAGAAGACACACAAATGTGCAATTCAGCCTCCAGCCTGTCAGCACTCATGGTTGAATTAGTAGTAAATGGTTGGAAATGTATTGACTTCTGTAGCTTGTTTTAATATAAAGCTTAGTTGCGCCTATCAGCTTGGGCAAAAGTGTTGGTTGCTGCTGGGATCCAGCAGTTATGGAGGACAATAACCTTCCCAAGCCTGAAAATCCATAGGAATCCACTCACTTTAACAAGCAAGCACAAAATGTCCAGTGTAGCTTTTGTTCCGAAATTGGTCCTAAAGTGCCAGCTGAAAAGAGCCAAGCTCTACAGATGCAGAACTCCAAGAAATATGAACCAAACACAAAACCTGAAAATTATTGTCAATTCTCAGTTATTAGGACATTCGATAAAACATGTGTCTTGTTTTATTTTTTTGCCTATATTTGTTGAAAATGTTTTTTAAATTGTGATATTTCCATTTTACAATGCAGTAAATGAAATATAAAATGATCCTTAAGGATTCATCAGTCTATCAGATCTTGCAGATTCCTGTTTAATCTAGTTTTCTAATTTTCATTGGAATATACAGGCAGTCCTCGACTTACAACTATTTATCTAGTGACTGTTCAAAGTTACAGCTGCACTGAAAAAAGTGACATGGCTGCTTTTCACACTTATGGTCTTTGCAGCATCCCCAGAGTCAGGTGATCAAAATTCGGATGATGGTTGCAGTGTGATCACCTTTGGTGACCTTCTGATAAGCAAAGTCAATGGGAAAGCCAAATTCACTTAACAACCACATTACTAGCTTAGCAGCTGCAGTGATTCACTTAACAACTGTGGCAAGAAAGGTCATAAAATGGGGCAAAATTCACAACCACTTTCTTGCTTAGCAACAGAAATTTTGGGCTCAATTGTGGTTTGTGTTGTTGTGAAGTACCTGTATTCAATTGTATTACATCCCAGTACTCGGAACAGGGACATTTCCTCCACCCCTCTTGCAACATCTTATTTCTAAACATGGAGATGCATCTTGCAAATATGTTACGAGATTTTTATTTTTTTTCTTAGAACTTCTGTGTTTCTCTGAATGAGAAACCAAACACCAGCTGAAGCCTTTCTTCTATATTGCATCTCTTTATGCTAGGGACAGCACATATGCTAAAGTATTTCCAAAGTAAGTATTCTGTTATTTTGATTACGAAAGGAGAATCATAGGAATCAATGTCTTTTATTTTGAGTGGAGATGTTGGCCAGGAATAAAAAGAGAGCTACAAAAGTGAATAAAGTGAGCTGAATTGGAAAACCTACAGAACTGGCAAGTGTTATCTTTACTTGCATACTTAACTCAGAGATTCTCTGGAAGTTCAGACCATAAAAGGTAGCTTTGAAGGGGAAAATGAAACAGAGAATAGAATAGAATAGAATAGAATAGAATAGAATAGAATAGAATAGAATAGAATAGAATAGAATAGAATACTCTGGGGGATTTACAACAATCAAAAAAATTACAATAAAACCAATAAAGCCTAAAAAACAAAGATAAAAGATGGCAAGTAGAATAAAGTTTACACACACACACTCTTAATTTACATATTTAAAATAAATATAGAGAAGAAGTAGCTCTCTACTTACATTATTATTGTAACCCAAATTGATTTAATATTAAAAATTAGAAGTTTCAATGTCAAAAAAACTAGTTTTTATAAACATTGAATTATATAGCACAGGTCCACGGCTCTTTGGAACCAATCCAAGCAAGTGGCAGGCAAGCACACAAAACTCCATTTGCACAAGTGATGGGTGTGCACCTCAAACCATCCCCTCCCCCCCCACCGCTGTTGCTGCTGCTGGTCCACAGAGCTGGAAAGGTTGGGGACCGCAGCCTTTGTGCTGTTAATATGTTGCCAAATTGCCAAATTATAGAATCTAGAATCTGGTTATGTATTTATTATGCTGTTTAACTACTCCAATCTTATAACTGTGGGTGGTGTACAACAAAGACACAAAAAGTAATGTAATCAACTATTAGAAATATAACAGTAATATACATCTAGAGGAATGCCTATGCACCAACCAGTTGGAGCCCAAATATCGTTAAAAAAAGAATGTTTATATCATCTTACTGAACACAGTAAGGAAGAGTGATTTCTGAACTTCCTAGTCAAAATAATACATTTCTTATGCGGGCCACCACCAAGAAGGCTGCTGGCTTGTCCATGTCCCATGAATCTTGGATAAAGAAGGGACTCTTAGGAGTCCTTCCTGAGATGTCCAAACCAGACAGTTAAAAATTAAATATGGCAAGATGAGCAACTTCTCTGATGGCAAAGTGCCTTTTTTCAAGGCACTTGTAAGTTGAAAGATATGGACTGAGAATTACACAAAATGTACTTGAATTCAACTTGAATTTATTCCATAAAAGCTGGTATCTGTAGTGAAATGAAAAAAGATAAATTATTTTTATTATCAACATGCATCTTTTCAGGTAAGATCAGGGGTTCAACTGTGCATTTGTGGCAACCATTTTGATTTTTTTATCCCCTCTGCAAATGCCCCTATGTACAGATACACACAAACCCATTTATCTGAATTATGTTCAGAATAAACCCATTCTAAATATATCTAGGTGATGGCATTTCCCATGTCTCTAATCAGAATGTTTCAATAGCAGAATTTCCAGAGGACTAATGTGGTTTTTCTGGATGATTGTTTCTATGTGATGCGTTGGCCAGTATTCCAATAGGAAATAGACAGAGTGTTATATGTTTCAAAATGTCACATGTTTCAAAAGGAAGGTTTTATAAATGGTACTATTTTTCTATTTTACAGAAACTTAAAAAAACCTATTTACTAATGCTCAGCCTCACAATTTTGAAATAATCACAAGCATTGCTATAAGGCCAAACCATGTTTAACATTTTTATTATGCAGAAATGTTTCTGTTTTATCTGCAACTCTTTTTATCATTATACTATTGTTGTTTGCAAGATGACTTATAAAATGCCACATTAAGATGTAATAAACTTTCATCTTATGAGCATTTATTACAGCTTACGTATTACAAGAGAGATGAATGAACTGCTCTTTAAAAATAGAGCATGAAGCAATAACTATTTATTACTTGACAGAAGTCGTGTAGATATACACAATTTAGATCTGAAACTGATTATTCTTTGGATGTAAACTTCTCTAAGCCCTAGCCAGCATTACTACCAAAAGTTAAACACAACTCGAGACAGGTGTATGTATGTGTGTGTGTGTGTGTGTGTGTGTGTAAATCTACAGGACGCATTGCTAGGCGGTCATTGATCATGACATCATTTTCTCCATCTTGCAGATGTTGGTCTATGGACATCTCTGATTGTGGATGACACAGATTGAGTGAAGATTGGGGGGAGGTCTATGACAACTTACCATGGCCAACTTTCCATGGGACAACTCGTCATGGAACAATTCAACATGGGATTAGTTCCGTTTGTTATTCATCACAACATTACAAAAGCTGGTAGTCATAGGAATGATTTTCTTTGATATAAGAAATAAAATAATTTGTGTGTTCCTTTGAGTAAGTCTCGGTGACTGCATAGACTAGTGCCTGTAGTTTTCTTAATGAAATGGTTTTCCATTGCCTTCCTCATAGGGAAGAAATGTGAGAAGAAATTAGCGTGACTGGCCCAAAATCAGCCTGATGACTTTCTACCTAAGGTAGGACTAGTATTCTTTGTGTCTTGGTTTCTACCCAGTGTCTTTAACCACCATACACCACTGCCTCACTTGGGGAAGTTAGAATAGGCTTGTAAAAGAGAAACATTGGTTACTCATTGTCAGATATAAAATAAAAAGGTATATTTCTGCAGAAAGAAATGTTAAGTTTAATTATGTCCTCCTGGAGTGCCCTGCACATATTATATCATAGATCATCTGAATAATTTAATCCATCGTCATTATGATATCAGCCTTTGCTCCAAATATTCACATGTATGGTTTACCTCAAACAGAATTAAACTATCTAATGTGCCTTTGGAGAATATGTTAAGATGGCTTCATCCAAAAGCTATCACTTACAATTAATGTTTTTAACTGATACACTTCTATATAACCTTCTGTCAGAGCAGCTAGGAACAGACAGTTTACTGGTTTACCAATTGCTACAAATTCAATGGTATTAACATTAAGTCTATTGTCAACCTTTTTATTTATTTATACCCACCAGATGCCTGTCATAGCAAAGAGAAAACAATGCTATGTAATCACCAGGAAGCTGGTGAAGACAAAAAAGGGCTTCTGATTATATTGCACTCTATTTATTCCTACCAATGGTCTACTGCACCATATAATGGCACAGGACATTTGGAATAGGGCATCATGATCTAATCATGCAATATAATACTGTACATACCTACTCAGAAATAAACTCCACTGAGTTCCACTGGACTTACTGTCAGGTACATGTGTATAAAATTTATTTATTTATGTATTTATTTATTTATGAGACTTATATACCGCTTTAAGTGCAAGCACTCTCTAAGCGGTGTACACCAGTAAGCAATGTATATATATATATTTACATTGCCCCCAACAAGGCATCCATTTAGATGTGAAATAGGCTGTAGACACATTTTTAACTCATGAATATTACATTTCATATAGTCCCATGAAGGCTTTGAACTTATAATTTAAAACAAACCTTCATCAATAAAATACGTATATCTAAGTAAGTTCTCAGTAAACAGTTACACGCAAGAGTAAACACTAGTGTCAAATTCTATGCCTCAATGAATTTCTATGTAAAAAGAAGCTCACACAACTTCTCCATGATAAAGTTACACACCATACCTTTCTACAAATTTGATGCCAGTTTACAATTTGTGTGAAAGTGTTCATAAATTCAAAATAAGAAAACAATGAGTATGGCAGTTGCAGAAATTTGTATGGACAGCCTAGGAATAAATTTACATTTACGTCTGAGCAAGAAATATGTTCCCCTTACCTTTAATCATTACATCTTAATCAGGCCCAGAGTGGGTTTTGACAGTGTTTCTGTTTTGCCTATGGAAGTCTGATCAATATTACCCAAAAGTTGGATTATAACCTAGTTCCCCCAAGTTGCTGGCTCTCCTGGGGTGGGTCCCAACACGAACCTCTCCTCTCAGTCATAACTTGGTTGATTTTTGCTTTTGTCTATTGTTAGACTGCACACCCCCCCATGTCTATTAATAAACAAGAGATAAAAAGAAACAATTTTTGGAGCAATTATATTTAATGAGACTTTCTCTTGAATGTAGGGACATACAAAAAGGTATCACTGATATCCTCAGCATATAGATAGAGAAAAAAAATTATCTGCCTGTATCATTATATTCTCAGGGAATCTATAACAACTACCCATTTTAAGGTGAAGTGTTTGTGAAAATGCCCTTTTCCTTGTGAATGAGTACCATAATATTATAATTATTTGCCTTAAGGAAATAGAATCAATAAATAAAATCAAAGAACAGTTTTTATTTATACTAAAATAATTTATTTGGTGAGAATTTAATTTCTGTTCTTTAATTTTTTAAATTAATTACTTAGTCTTTTCTTAAAAAATAAACTCTGGTCAGCTGAAGTGTATCATGTGTAGGTATTTAGTAAAAGCCATGATGATCTCCTATGTAGGATGCAACATTGCATAATATTATGAGCTGTATTTTGAATTATATACAGGATATAATTCCATTCATTTCACTACTTCCTTATGTTTCCTTACGTTTTACCATTTACTTCTCAGCTCTTCCATAAATTTCATTAATAAAATATTTCAGTAGCTTGAATGTGGTTAATGTAATCATAGGTTTTGCTGTTTGTAGAAAGTACTGCCTCTTAGGATTTGTTATCCCTGAGAAATTGGCAAGCCCTTGGGAGTTGTACCAGTTGTAATGAACTGTCTGCTCCACGTCACAACATTTTCAAGAAGTCGGTAACTGTTGTGGTTTAGGCACACCCCTTATCACATTGCTTATCATACTTTGCTGATTGTGGAATGTGCTTGTCTCCCTTTTTGGTGAGATTTCTGAGTCTTGGGTCTGCTAGGAGTGAAATGCTTCAGAAAATACATGGCGTGCTTTATAAGGAGACTCTAATATCATCCAAGACTCTGGTTTTATTCTAAGAAAGGTCCTGTTAGGCCTCAGGAAAACAGATCGTCTCTATCTGGCACAGCTACAATTGAGATAGTAAGCATAACATGATAATGCACAGATGTTCTGCTTGGCATTTTACGTGACAAAAATAAAGACAGGGCCCAACTTGAAAGTCACTCCAGAGGATATGCTATCAAGGCAGCAAATGTAAGGCACCTGTTAGTAAGTGAGCAATTTTAAAATTGACGGTCTATGTAAAGGCAAATTCAATTGGGAGGTTATCTCAGACATATAAATGGCATCTAACATTCCTCTCACTTGCTGCCTGTTCTCTTGTGGTGTGGAGAAAGTTGAAAGCATCACACATGTGCTTCTTCCCTGAAATTTTTATTCCGATTTAGTAAAAAAAAAATTTTTTTTTCTACCAACAATCTTAGGGCAGTCAGTTCATTATCACCTAGTTTTTCTATTAATCTAATCTAATTCCAGTTTAGCTACAGTGACACCAGGTTTTGCTACTTTGTTTCAAGATTGCTACAGAAAATGTAGATAATACTAAACCCCTCATTGTTATGACTTTTAACTAGGTAAAACAGTGCAACATTCGGCAACAGTTTTTGAATCAAGGTACCTCAAATGGGCTAACTTTCAAAATGTGTCCAAAATCTAGGACCCAAGACTCCTAAGGGAAAGAAATTTGGGGAAGATATGGCTCTTTCATTGTTATTGGCTGCTGCTATACTACTGATTTAGTCACATGATCCTCATTTATCCTCATTGTGACAATTTCCCAGCCAGTCTCACAATCACTTACTCACTCCCCACCCAGCAGCAGCCACTTACCTTCCTGCTGGAAAGGGGAAGCGGAAGGGAGGGAGGGAGAAATATGTTCCCACAAAGAAACTCAGTGGGGAAGCAAGCAGGAAATCATTCCTGCTCCCACAGCTTTTTTCCCACTTTGGTCATTCTGTGTTTCTGTTTAGGTAAGAAAGTATCTTTGAAACAATGATCCAATGGGGTATGGGTTGTCTAGTACTTCTTAAAGATCAAGTTCCAACTATATAAACATTGGGGGGGGGTGTATATATTTCTTTTGTTGGTTTGAGACTATAATAAAGCTTTTATTTATCCTTGTACATAACAGCCCTAATAAGTAGCCTAGGTACAGATGCTTTACATTTGTGCCCTGAATTTTGGTTTTCAAACCCACAGCCCTACCTTATCTTTGGAAGTTAATTGGAACTATTTCCAGATAAGAAAAGAATTGTTTGGCTAGCTTTCTGTGCATTTGTCTGGGGGTGCAAGGCACACCTCTTGTCTTGTTGCCTTGCATTCTTTTTATTCTACAGTTTCATTTGTGAAACTGAGTATTGAAATCAGATAACACCCCCTAAATAAATGAACAGGTAACTCTATACAAGATAGGTTTACTAATGGATGAGTTCTTTGTGTGAATGCTAAAATGGGGGTGGGTGGAGGGAGAGGAACTGGATTCTCTTTAGCTCTCAAGTGTACTACTTATATTTTACTGATAATTGAAATTATGATTTACTACTCTGCTTGCAGTAAGTTCCAATATATTGAAAGAAATTTGAGATCAAAAAGCAAGGAGAGAATTTAATTTTCGATATTAGGGAAAAATAATTGGAATTCTATGTAAAATAGAATGCTGGAATGGTGGGCAATGGGAAGACAAGGGCAATGGCAGTGCTGTTGTTTTACAGAGCAGACTTCAAACCTCAGTTCAGCTGTAAACTGAACAGAGGAATCATTAAATTATAGTCATATATCCCATTAGCAGACTCAGTAAGTAAGATTCTTTCTTACATAAATGGAGTCTGCCTGCATATACCTGTAGGTTGTACAGTATGAGCAAGGTACTTTATGCATGGGTAGTGGGATGCAGTCTGCTTCCCAGTATGTACTGTATAGTCAGAATAATATTTTGTTATCAAGATTGTTGTTGAGTATGATAAGTTACATGACGTACTTTGAGCACTCAAAAATATCATCAATGCCAAGTTAGTAGCAGGACCGAATCCAGAGGTCTCATAAACAGACTCTGCTCATGAGACACTCTGCTTGGGGTGGGGCAATGTCTGTATGACCCCTGTGGTCTCATAAACTCTTTCCAGACAGTTGGAAAGTCTTCTAAAATAGCATATGAAGCAGTGGTAGAACTCTAATACTCCATCACGAGTTCAACAGCCATTTTGGTAATAGTAGATCTACTTTAGACCCGTGCAATTATGAAAGAGGCTAGATTAGGTTTCTGACATATTAATATATTGGGAGTATGTATTTAGAACTTGGATATTCCCAAATTCAAAGGGTTGTTAGAATCAACTGAAAATCAACTGACAGCAATAAAATCATATGCAATACAATGTAAATAGCATAGAAGCTAAATACTTCACAATATTTTAAGAGGTTGGGTAAAAATAGAACGGTGTTTGCTTAATGAAAAACCTTCTGTAGGAATAAGAATCCTCTGAGGAGCTATGTGAAAAATTTTCCAAAAATTTGGAAGTTATCAGTAAATTCTGCCTTGGGTTGCTGTACAGCCTTTCCTCATGTCAGAAT